GACAGTTCCCAAGAACCTGCTCTGCCAGCTCTCCTGTGGACACAGGCTTCTGTCTGAAGGACACAAAGCCTGGAGGGTCTGCCCACCCCACAGCCTTTGGCGCCGAGGTGGAGAGCCCAAGCCCTTCGGTAACAAAGTGGCATACCCTGTGGAGGTGTTCAGCACATTGTCTTGCCTCAGGCTTGGTAATATCCAGTGATGGCTTTCTCTCTTGCCTCTGTTATACTTTTTGTGACACACAGTCATCATCTCTAGACAAACAATTTACAAATACATTTTATCATCACTACATCTCTTCTCGAATGGCAGAGGTGGCATAATCCTATGAAGAAAGCCCCACAACACAGCATATGATAGTCACAATTTATGAGCGGCATTTGTATCAACTGGGAAAAGATGGCAAATGCACAAGTTACCAATTGACAGTCACTAGCTTTTCCCCACAGCCTTCTTGTAGCAAGAGAAAATGATTCAAGTGTTATTGCTGCCATCAAAAACCTCTGAAACCTACCTACGGACAACAGAGACTGTGTGCTTCAGGGACCCGAGAGTCCGTGAGCACCAGCCTGTGAGGCACGCTTAGCTTTCTGGGCCACACTGGCACAGCTGCTCATTACATGTGATGAAGGGTGTTATGGCTTGTGTCTAGGTGTCCCCCCAAAGCCTCATGCAGTCTTGGGGCGGCTTCTGCAGTTTGTGATTGATTACTGTGGATGTGGATGCTGCACCCGCCCTGGGGCAGGTAACTTGCACTTCAATGTAAGGGGGGAAGAGAAGCCAGCTGCTTGAGCTGCCGCTCCTCCTTTGACCTCTTGCTCTTTGCCACGGCCATGAAAGGTTGTCCTCTGCCTTGTGCCACTCTGCCTTGGACCCAGCTGAATATGGACTGAACCCTCCAGTAACTGTGAGCTAAATAAACCTTTCCTTCCCTAATTTGAGTGTTGGGTATTTGTCCCAAAATGAGAAAAGAGTAACAAAGACAAAGGGCATTATCAGAATACAAGTCCTTTAGGAGAGCCAGTAAACCTGCATGGGCTCCATTTCTGCTGGCTCCAACCACTAGGTCAGTGTGAGCCCCGACAGAACCACACTGCTGCCTAGCAGGGATGCCTAGCAGGGTCAGCAGTATGCCCCTGCCACCATCTCATCAAAACCTGGACGAGGCTGCCTTGATTGCCTGATTATCTGAGATCACCAGGAAA